TAGCTAGACAAGAGTCTTTTAATGGAAATTGTATTTTTCAAAGTCTTAGATGCTCCCTGAAACATCATTGAATCCTATCATCATCTAGTCCTATCTACATGAACCCACAGTGCACTTGTAATATGGGAGATGTTGTAAACCACTGTCAGTACGAGGTCAGTACTGGAAACCACGTTTTTGAGCTGGTAAAATAGTTGCGAGCACCCATTATTCCAGTAGTATATACCCAGATAATGTCCAGCCATTCTATGTTGCTGTAAAGTGGTAAACTTACTTATGTATGTCTGTTAGTATAACCCCCATCTGCATGTGTGTACATTTTCATTTACCAAGAAAACCCTGTAAAATGCAGAAAGTATATTTCTTTAAGGCCTGCTGCCTCTCGTAATTATTCAAGGGCTTAAAAGAATCATAGGATAGAACTTGCAAGCTACTAAAAATGATACTGTACCTGTATGGTTGTTTTTTTTAGAAAACTAGGATTGGTGCCCAGATATCCCAAGCTTCTATTCTTTTTATACAAATTTGACTGTTTTACCCATCCTTGTATTTCCAGGAGCAAAAGGATTTGAAATTTGGGAAAAAAGTGAAAATTCATTAAATGTATCCAGGAAATACTTGCTGATGGAGTTAATAAGCCTTTGTCTCCTGAAAGTGTGTAACTCCGCTGTGACTTCATTCTCTGCAGTTAGGTTTCGAGTATCCGGTTGTGATGCTGAAAGGCATAGGCATGGTGCTATCAATGTACTGCTGTTTGCTACGTGTAAATGCTAAAAGTGTGGCTAGTTGTGTGCATGCATGTGTAATACGAAAGAAGCAGATTAATGGTGCACATGCTAGTGGCTAGAGGCATAAAGCAGCATAATTTAATGTTATTGAGATTTTTCATAATTAAATAATGGGGTCACGTTTAGTTTGAGTGACTCTTAGCAATTCTGTATTGGTGTAGAAAAAATAACATGCATGTCTGCTGTCTTTTAAATGTAGACATTTGTTAATGTTTGATTGCACACAGCTGGTGAACAAGGTAAACAGATGCATGACCTTACCATATTTATTTATTTTTGCACCACTAAATCAGGGGCTGCCACCATGCTACTCCTTGTTTGATGTGTTCTAATGTGGTACTGATGTCCACTTAGTTACTCTTTCAAAATAATACCTGTAATAAAGTGGCAGTATATCTTAATAATACCCTTATTAGAAGAGAATGTACCTAAGCAGTACAAAGGCTGTACATAATGTCTTGGCCTGGTATCTGAATGGGAGGCACTACTGTGTTCAGAACATGATGTTTAGAAGCTGAAATCCTGTCAACAGACTCATGAATGAGCTTTTTTTGAGAGAGATTGTGCATGGGATTTGCTACTTTATAGAATTCAATGAACAAAGAATATGGCAAAAGGATTTTTTTTTTTTTATGGGCATGCAAATTATGCCCCTTTCTACAGGTAAACGGTCCAGTTACCACTTTTTGAAGTTAGGGGAGTGACAGCAGTATTATTAATATGAAAGTAAATGCATTTTGTTGCAGCTTCAGCCGCTATAATTTGTAGAAGAGAAAATTGTCTTCCCAATGTAATGTAGCTTTGCTGTTAACAACTCCCTCAGCCATAGGGAGCGTCAGTGCCTCTCTCTCACTGACCTGCAATGTGGAGCTACAGCTTGGACTCTTTTGCCATTCTGTATGCACTGGTATAGTATTCGTCCTGCTTAAGTTTAGTCACCTTGCATAGGCTAAGGAGCCTTGCATTCAGACTCCTGTAGTCACTAGAAAAAGAGGGAAGCCTTCAGTGTGATTCATCTTCAGTCTAAATAGATGTGCTGAATCAGCCTCTCTAGGGGAACCTAACGGAGTATTCAGGTTAGATAACTAACTTTTGAAGTTAATGAGATGAATTGCACCCCCTGAGTTTTATATAAGAAATCCATCCTGAAGTGAGTAAAATCCATGTTTGGGAGGATATTTGGGATGGGATTAGGAGATGTGTTTATAGATCCTTCAAAGTCACAGTGCCTATACCATTAGAAAGTTGGGTAAGAATTGAATTGATTATAAGATCCAACTTAAGCACTAAATTCAGGAGTTGTAGTGAAGAATTCAAAATGTTCTTCTGTTTATACATTCTCTTCCCTGATCACTTGATTTAAATGTTTACATTTTTTGATCTTGAGCTACTGGATCAAAATAAGAATTAAATACTTGCAGCCGTCCTTTTGCAAAATAAGAATTTAGCTGATGCTGATCATATGTTCCTATGCTGTGTAATTGTGCTAACTGAAAATACTTGTGGGGAAGTGCTCAGAGGAAACTTTTTGTGTTACTGTTGTATTGTGTTATTCGTGAATCATCTGTACACCCTTCTGTAATGGTGTGTGTAGTCAAATGAGCCAGATTCCAGGTAAGTGTGCATGTAGTCCTTCCATCACTGGGTTTCATCTGTTATGTTTTAATAGGTGCTCATTCCTACACATCTAAATAGTAACTTACGTTTTGTCTTCTCAATTCCTAGAGTGTGGAGAAGAGATATATTTTTCAGAACTGTTTCTGTCTAGAAAAAGTACTAGTGAGTACTGCATTGTAAGAGAAAATAAATAATATGTAATGTACATCATTATATATGAGAATGAATGGCTGTGAAATTTAATTAGTACAACACTTCATGTAAGTGTCACAGAAGATCTTGCTACATGGCAAAGAACATGAGGTCATTTTGAGTAGGGGATAATTGGGGTTTGGAGAAAGTTTTAAAATGCATGTTGAAGTTGCTATAGAAGTTGAGCATTGACCCTAGTTATAATTGAATTCAAAACTCCAAGTTTTGACTGTAGGTCAATCACCTCCCAGCAAAGGAGATATTCTTGGAAGTCATTTTGAGAGAGATTGAGATGAAGCTGTTCATAATTCTCAGTTATTTATGTACCTCTTACCAACCTGCATTTTCGTCCTTTCTAACTGAGGAAAAAAGTCTCATATTTGTGGTGGTGGTTTTTTTTTTTTCCTTGTGTCTCTTTCCGTTCCTCCCTGCCCC